GCCCCCTAGACCCCTGCGAGCTGACCGGGCAACTTGACCTCCGACATACTTAGCGAAGTGGAAAAACATGAAAGAATTAACTTCCGATACAACTTTGCAAGGCACAATTCGAGTTGGATTTGCATCTAAAGGTTTGGAGACATTACCTGTTCCAAACACACCACTATAACCCGATAACCAAAAATAAGGGAAATACAAGGGAAAACTAAGATACGTAACACCGTTCAAAATCATACCAAGCCGAACCCGGAACACCACAAGAGATGGGTCAAAACCGGGATCGCTACAGCCTCTGCGACAATGACAGAGCTTGGATTCAATCATAGAGGCCTTTGTCGATGGCTTGATTGGCATTCATTTCACTCGCAATTATAATCTTCACTTGGAAGAATGGTATGGCCATGGAAGAATGGTCTAAAACCACTTAATAATCTCTCTTAATATGGGTGAAATGAGCGAAAAGATGGAAAAATAGAGAGAGACGGAGATGGAGAGCCTTTAGATCTAAACTTATCTCTTGCGCAATGGAGCTAAGAGTTACGACGGTGCTGGCAGAGGATCTGGAACTCTGCGTCACCCGAATGATTATTAACTACCAGATCTCAACAGCGATTGATTATTAATTACCAGATCTCAGCAGTGACAACAGCAGCAACGGCAGCGATGAAGACGTTGTGATTACCTTCACTGTAACCTTCGACGCCATTGATTCATCTTTCCCTCTCTCTCTCTCTCTCTCTCTCTCTAACTCTCTTTTGCAAGTTGTAGTTGTAAAAAGTTCTAATCCTAGGGCCTTATACTTAAAGATACCATGACAATCATAGTGGGGAGGAGCTTTAACTATGGCGATTCGACAGAGAAGATCAATGATTCGGTTGAGGGTATAATAGTTTGATAAAATATTTAAATAATAAATTTTGTCCTTTGTACAAAAATTTATAATTATGAGGCAATTTTGAAAGTATAATTTTTTTCCTTAGTCCTTTTAACAATAAAAGGAAGGTAAGGGGGTTTATAGTTTATTTTTTTATTTTTTTATTTTTTATTTTTTTGGGTATCTTCCCAAATAATAATACGAATCTTCTGAAGAAAAAAAATTGATACCTCAAACATAAGACAAAGAAAGGGAAGCACCAAAAAAACGTTGGATGTTTAGTGGTCCTCAACGTGTAAGTTACATAAGACAAAGAAAGGGCAGCACCAAAAAAACGTTGGATGTTTAGTGGTCCTCAACGTGTAAGTTAGATATTGAGGGTTTGTTTGGAAATAAGTTATTTTTTTAATTTTTTAAAATTTTAATTAAAATATGAGGTGAAAAAAATTAATATGATTAAAATGATTTTTTCACCTTTTATGAAAAATCATCCATAAAATAAAAAAAAAAAGAAAATCTTTTTATTTTTTAACCGTTTTAATTTTTTCACCTTTTTATATAATCTTTTAATTTTTTTTTGACCTTTTTAATAATTTTTTGATTATTATATTAGTTTCCAAACTTACCCTGACACTTTTTGTAAGTTTGACTTTTACTAGTTGGCGGGTGGTGGATTGTTACTATTACTTTGTTGGGGTCATTTAGTTATTAAGTAAAACTTTTACCATCTACTATTATTATAAACAACAATGATTCATCCCCTTTTTCCCTCACCCCCTTTGACCCCTTCTCTCTCTTTCATTGGTTACCTTTTTTTTTTCTTTTTCTTTTTTTTCATGCTCCTCCAATCACCACCTACCACGTGGCAAAGGGGGTGAGGGGGTGACCCCCAAAAGGGGGTCTCAAGTATTATTCTATTATAAAACATAAAGAATCTGTCTTGTTTTTTATTTTTATTAAATTTCAATTTTATCCTCTCAAATTTATTATATTTTCTAAAAGTCATAAAGAGTCTTATATAAATCAATTATCGTTTTATTTTTAGCATTGATATCCAAAAACAATATATCTACTTTCAAGAATTCTATAAAAATATAAACAAACCATCTCTCTTCTTATTTTTATTTTTTATTTTTTATTTTTAAAAATGCCTCCCTATTTTTTACATTAATGATGATTGAAGAACCAAAAATATTTACTCTTTTTTATTTCATATGTTTGCTTCTATACTGAATAATTATTTTCATACACTTTCTTTTTGTTTAAATTATATTTCATGAAGTATAATATTTTATATAGTACTTTAATAACCAATGTATAATGTCAAAATTCTAAACAAGAATCACTTTTGTTGGTTTTATTTTTTAAATCTGTTTTTTAGTTTTTTAATTTTTCATATTTTCTCAGTTTTGGTGAATAAAGATACTAGGGGTGTGTTTGGTTTGATTTTAGGAGATAAAGTTTCAAAAAAAAAAATTTGAGGAAAGATTTTAGAAATTTTTTTAGTTTATTTGGTTGTATATTTTAGAAATAGCTTTGGAGTGTGGAAGTTTTGAGTAATTTATTTTGTTGTAGTTGAGTAGATGTATGTGGGAGAAAAAGTAATTGAGAATGAGAGAGGAGAGAGAAAAATTGATTGATTGATGTGTAAGATATAAAAAGTGATTTTGGAAAAAAAATTTCAAAATCATTAAACCAAACAAAATTTTAAAAAAATTTCTCCAAAATTTATTTGTCAAAAACAAACCAAACAAGGCCTAAAATTTCTTCATATTTTATATTTAAATTATATTTTTATATGAAAATCTAATATCTAATAATCTAAATAGAATTAAAAGTAAAATATTAGTAAACAAAATTATAAATTCATGCACTATTTTTATTATTATATATATTTTTGTTATTATTATTATTATTATTATTATTTAATATTAATAATTTTTTTCCAAAAAGAATGCACAATAAATTATTTTCTAAGTGTATTTAGATTAAGTGAATCTAAATTTCAAAGTAAAATTAAAAAATAAAAAAAAAGTATTAAATCTAAAAAGAAAATATATCGGTTATTAAAAAAAACAATGTCAGAGACAAAAAAAAATCAAAACCAAAAAATTCAAAATAAAAGTTTGAAAAAATAAATCAAACCAAACCAAACATTATAAATTTTTCTTTTTTAAATCTTTATTCACCAATCTCTAATTTTACACAAATTATTCACAAATTCATTTCAATTTTTATGTGAATTTAATAATCTAATTAAAAGATAGTGCATACATACAAAAATATAACACTAAACATCTATATTATGACCAGCTATTTAATTATGAATAATTAACTTCTTATTATTATCTATATTATATTGTTGCAAAAGATTTCACATATTACTTTTGTGATATCTTATATATGTCAATGTACATATATATATATATATATATATATGTAAACTTATATATATTATTATATTGTCAATATGTAATGTTATATTACCATCGGATACTTTAATTTTCATACATATATCTCTTTAATAATATGGTTATATTTATTTGGAAAAAACTACGGAATTATGTATTATTCTCCTATCAATTTATGTTCAATGCATATTTACATACATGTTATACAAATAAGTGTCCACAACAAACACTTTCAATAACAAACTAAGACTTTGCAAAATATCTCCATCACAATAATAATTGTACTTTTTTTTCCTCACAGAAAAAATCACATTATTGAGAGAATAGATTTTGAAATTCATAACAATATGATATTGCCTCAAACTCTTATTCATCAAAATATTTTTATGACATTGAGTTATAATAGTGAGTAAGAAGAAAAATAAAAAGATGGTGAAACAAAAATTACAGAAGATTTATTACAACATGCTCTCCAAGCAAAATTAGAAGAGCTAAAGCAGGAATTGTCCTATCTATTGTGAAATTCAAGAAAAATAATGTACCATATGCACACAATTTAGTCAAATTACAAGGGGGAAAAAATCAAATGATGCCTAAATATTATTGTAGTAACTCAATAATGCAGAATGTAAGTACATCAAATAAAAAGTTTCGATCAATTTTTGTTATATGCTGATTATTTACAAATGCCATAATAAATTATGTAACTTAATAGTTTCATAAAAGTGACCCCCGCAAACACTTATAAATATGAATTTATAAATATCGTGAAAATAATTATGAAATTCCTTTATCGATCAAAATATTAAGTTACAATATCATTCTATTTTATTAAAAAACCTATTCTACATTTTCTACATAAATGAAAGCATACTAATGACTAATGTTATATTTCTCATCATGTAATATATTCATGGTAGAGGAAACAAGACTCAACAACTCTTGATTTATAAAAATATATTATATATTGATATTAATACATTCTTATACCAATAATATGCGAATAATATGCAATAGTAGGTTTAATGAACTTGTATTATAAGATGAACTATTAAACAAATTTGTGTAATTGTGCAATTAATTTCATACTTTCAATTGTATTACAGGTACAGATTATGAAAAATTAAAGTGGGAAGTTGATAGAAAAATATTTGTATAATACTATATAAAGGACCTACTTATTGTTTATTATTTAAGATAAGATTGTGATCTCAACAATTTAGCTATAAACTAATATTTATATTTATAAAATTTCTCATTTATCATTTAAATTCTTTAGTCAAGTATGTATTCATTTATTACTTAGTTGTACTTTAGATACAGATCAATTTACTTTTATAAGTCTCTATACTTTAAATACATATCATATATCAATTTAAGAGATGCGCATAATTACAGTATTAAAAATTTGTGTCGTACGTGCCCAATAACTAGTAAAAAATAAAAAATCAAAAGTTTTGGCAAGCTGATGGGGGATGGGATGGGATGGGAGTACTATAATGCCATCGCCTGTCTCCCAGGCAACTATAAAACCATAACCATAATGAAATCCTAACTACAAATAGTTCATTCGACCATAAGATATACTATACGTTTTACATATGATTTAATTTTGCATAAATTCATAAAAAAATTTAAACAGAAAAGGTTAACTGTAATATCACAATACTTTATAGTGATTAACTACTAAGTTTTGAAATTCATAGGCCAAAATGTAAATGGATCGTACGTTTTTATCCTTGGCAATACATTCAAGCTGTTAACCAATCCGAGTTATATACAAGAAGATAGCGCGAAGAGCATGTTGTCATAGCATATTGTATTTACATTGCTGTCAAAACCTCCACCGCCAAGATTTTTTACCAAAGTTTTGAGCCCAAACCATTTACACAGGGCAAAGAACGATCCTTTTTTGGTACAAACTATTTACAAATGCAGTAAATACAGAAGTGCATTCACAGCCAAAGCATTCCAATCCCATACTCGTAAAAATAAGTTGCATGAAATTTCAAATCTTGGATACAACACTGATCACTTCTCAAGCTTCTGATATAAATCTCCAAGTGAACGATAGAAAATGGCAGCTGCAGCTGGCCTAGGTAATGATCCAAGAAGAATATTTGATGCATTTATTGACTGGCTGCCGTAAAATCGGGAATTCTCTCGTGTGCGGGTAGTGACAATGCTCCCTTCTAGGGAACATCCAACAAATGCACCTACATTACAAACAACAAAAATGAACCCAGAAAACAATAAACTTGTGAGGACGCAACCTTTGAGATCTAGAACTACTCGAAATGATTACGCAAATGTAGACATCAATATTGTTTGGTGGAAAGACTAAATTATCAACAACAAAAAAAGAATATTCTGATAATATTAGTTAATTTGTCATCACTTGTTTTTCATTAATATCATAAAATAGTTGATGTCTGCAGAATTTCTGCATCTTATTCCAAAAATTCAACGACTTGGAACTTTAGAAAATCAAGCCAAAACTCAACTATTCCATCTATAAATCCTCGAAACCTTCTTCTACCCAATAGAACCTTAACCCTGGAATCTGTTTCAACTCTAAACCCACCACAAATCCACTTGTGGACAACCACCTTAGGCCATAAGTTCCTAATCTGTTCTACATCAGTTGGGTTACCTTCCTCCTGTTTCAAGCATGTTATGTTCCAAATGCAACATCCTCAAGATGGACAGTGGTCAAAGCCATTGTCAAATTGAGGAAGCATGCAACTGAAACCACCAAGAGAAGAGAATTGAGGAAAATCACAAGCACAAAAAAGTGTAAAACAAGATACAGACAACTGTGAAGAGCAAAACTAGGAAGACACTGACTAGATTTGAATATAATTGAACAAAAACGATAAAATTATTCTCTTCATCACAAGGTTGGGGGCTGGTATTCTCCCACGATGATTTCCTACAATCATACTAGTTGGAAAGTGTTTACCAATTATAGTGTTATGTTTCAGCAAACAAGACTTCTCATTATTCTGCAGAAAAAGAAGAAGAAGAAGTAAATAGGGAACTTTCTTTTCCTAAGTAATTATGGTAGCTCTCTGAAACAGCACGCTATGGTATTGGTAGGTGATCGGCCAGCTATGACTTTAAAATACTAAACCAATGATGCAAAGCACCATATTTTTTCATTACTAACAGTAAGGAATAAATATTCAAGGTACAAACCTTTCCAAACTCTGAAGTAATGCACAAGGACAATGCACTCAGCAAAAACCAAAAAATGATTTCTTGATGTTAATATGAGATTCAGACATTTTTCATGAGATCCAAGTATCTTTCTAAAGAAACCTAAACCAAACCAAACCTTAAGTCCCATCAAACGGGGTCGGCTATCTTTCTAAAGAAACATACCATTACTAAATCAAAATGAAAAGATATTTCATATTTGGCTTGCTTGTAACATCCAATCCAGGCCTCAAGAATCCTAAATATCTTAAATATATGAAGGCATGTGAGGTTAATTCATATGGAAAAGATACCTTTACTGCAGCTATATGTATAACAAGCAGCATAGCCACTATCACCAGCTCGCACATCAGCTTCAACTACTCGTCCAACAATGCCAACAGCTGCACTCAAACCAGCTCCAACTGAAAGATGTACATCACTGCTAAACGTCTTAATAGCATCATTTGTCCTCAGTATAATTATTAAGTCTATCAGTTCTCCACCAGCCTGCAAAGAAACAAAACAATTAGTTAAAAATAGAAAAGCTGAAAAAACCAATTCTTGAAAGGATGATCATATTTCAGAATCTCAGAAAATAAATTTATCATTGACATTGCACACCCCAAAGAGATGTATTGCATCTTAAAAACCAGCAAAATCACTTCAGCCACCCATCCATAGAAAGAGGGAATCTTCGCATTTTTTTTCTTAAATAACCACCACCTTGGAGGATTAGTTTAAAAGAAGTCAGATCTACTATCAATTGCGCTTGGTGAGTGAGGATAATTTATCTTAGACCCTCCAATATACATGAACAAGAGCAAGAAAGTTTAAAGTGAAAACGAGACATCTTAGAAGGAAACTACTTCACCTGAGCTCCCCAACCCACACCAAAAGAAGAAATGGCAGAAGGCGGAGACCATGTGCCATCTTCCCTAAGAGCAATAACCAGTCCCGTTCCAATGTTGTATGTAACCATCATGCCAACTTTCACGATAGTGAGTATTGCAAGGCCTTTTGCTTGTCGTAGAATAGCATCGGGAATTGCCTTGTCGGGTCTCAAAGAACCTACCTGAGCATATATATTCCATTGTTAATGTACGAACCCTCTTACTTATGCCTCATCATTTCTATTATTTTAATAGAGCTGGTTGAGCACAATACATTATTTATAATAGCTTAGAGGTAGCCAAATAGAGTGGTGGTTGAGTACAATAAATAATTTATAATAGCTAAAATGTAACCAAAATCTTACCTTACTATTGTAACCTTGAATTGTGTTTGTGGCCTTATAAATCTCGTATTCCATGGACTGTCCCCATGGAAAATTTAGCCATGATCTTAAAGTGCTAAGGTCTGTCACATCATGGGTTGGTAACTGAGCAGCATGACTTACCTGATCCATTAAATATGACTGAACGGATTGAAGACGCACACAACATACATCACATACCCGTTGTGGATCCCCCAAATGAAACTTAGATGGCAACAAGCTCCTTCCTCTAGTACACTCACCGCAAAATATTCCTCCACAAAACCGGCAGTGATGCCGGGTGCAAATGATAGGGTGAAACCGAATATTACAGAGCATGCAAGCAGAAGCTGCACTATCAGGCAGCCATTTTGGTGGCTCTGTTTCAAGAATCTTTGTTGTGTTACTAATATTGGCTTCAGTAAGAGTTTCAGCCATCTCTTTCCAGGCTTGCTCAATTAGGTGGCTTGATATCCATGAAACCTTACGAATATCGCCAGAAGCTAAAGAACTCACCTTTCCCCTGGCCACAAGTAACATTTCAACTACCACCTCCCACATGGTCAACTCTTTATCTTCCTCAACACACTGACTCCAACCAATATCTCCTTCAGGGAAGTATCCCCCATTTGGATACAAACCTCTGGCCCACTCATCGTGATCACTTTCTGACAGAGGAGGAACAGAAACGGGTATCCAAACCCCAGTTTCTTCAGAAAGTGGTGAGTCGTAAAAGAAGTATTTTCCTAGTTTTTTATGGCTGGCATTTGGTTCTCCTTTCTCATCATTCTCCTCCCTTAATTTGGTATCACATAATTCTTGTTCAGCCATTTGTTGCCCAACAAAACCACTCTTCTCATCATTTGCTTCCCTCGTGTGTTGAGGTAATTTAATATCACATTCTTCATATTTATCCATTAATTTCCCCACAAATTCACTCTTCTGACCATTATCCTCATTTGTATGCTGAGTTATTTCAATATTTTTTTGAGGTTTAGCCATTTGTTGGCTCAGCAGATCTCTCTGCTCTTCATTCTTCTCCCGTTCACCATTAGGAGAGTCACATTCTTCAGGTTCATACATTTCTTGGCACAAGAAATCATTCCTCTCATCATTGTCCTGACTACCTTGTTGAGGATTAGAATGACATTCTTCATTTTTAGCCAATCTCATTATCTCAATGTTCTCCTTTGTCCTTGGTGAAGGTAACTCATTATCACATTCTTCAGATTTTGCCATTTGTTGGCTTATACAACAAACTGTGTCTTGCAAATCATCGTGCTCTTTGTGTTGATGAAATCCCCCACAATCCTATCATCATCAAAGTAGAACAAAAAGAGAGTATCATCAATCAACAAAGTAATTTCCAATCATGGAAAAAAGAAAATAAAGACTCAAAGAGAACATAGTGGCCAGGATCAAATCCTGAAATGAGAGAAGGGAGAAACAACAGAATACCAACATCTCGCAGTAGATGCTACCTATTGGCCTTCTAAGACAGTCTTGAGTTAAGGTTATGATAATGGAAATAAAATGTTCTGTTTCATTTTAAAAAGTTGTTTTGTAGTCCTGTACATTAGTTCTTATGTCATTTTAGTCCCTGTAATTTTAATTGGTTCGATTTTGACTGTAATTTTTTAATTTTATCTCAATTTAGTCCAACTGATTACAATTCTTAGTATTTTTTTATGAAAAATATGCACATAACTGTCATGTGTTATAGCTTTAAGAAAAAATTATAAACTTACTCAGTTAGTTAACTTCAACCAATTTAGTGATAATTTTTCTTAAAAAACACTAAAGATATTATCAATTAAACCAAATTGAAAAAAAAAAATTCTAAAATTAAATGTTAAAATTGAGCGAATTGAAAGTACAGTGACTAAAATTATACAAGGGATAAAATATAAGGACACCGGTGTAATTTGCCCTCATTTTTTTTTCCTACAAACAAAAAAAAAAACAAAAACGAAGAAAAACAGGCATATTGTATTAGCCCTAATTTTTAGTTTTTTATATTCTTGCTTAAAGAATATATGAAAATTTTCATTTGGAAGCTAACAAAACAGTGTCCCCCCAAATCTTTGTTAAGCAAACAACAAAAGCAGAGTCATCAAACGTCAAGTTTCCATATTTTGGCTAACTACAACTAATCAAATCAATAACACTAGCAATATTATATGTAAATAATCTATATGTACGTGTGTGTCCAATTTTTTTTTAAATTGAATCTAATAACCATTAATTGAAAATACAAATCAAACTGATTCATGAATCGAAGATAGAAATTACCGAATTCGACTCCAGAGGTTCTGATTGGTCTTGAGCTTGAGTTTCCGTATGAAATTCGTTGCAATTCATTGAGGAACAGGAAGCACGACTCGACACGACAAAAACAAGAAGGATATAATCAATTGAGACGGCGATAAAAGAGACGATCAAATTTCTCAGAATTTGTAAATAGGTGTCTTTTGATCTCATGAGAGAGCTCCACGATGCCATGTTCTCCGGAAAACAGCAATATCAGAACAGCATGAACATGAACATGAACACAACAACAATTAGAAGGAAGGAGAAGGAGATTTGGGCAAAATCAGAGAAGAAAAAGGACTAGGAAATGTATGCATCGAAGCAGTGAATTCTTGTGAAGAAAGAGCAAGGTTTTTCTGCGAAGATTTAGATAGATGACGATGGCTAAAGAGACTCGACACAAACGAATGATGTCGCAATTAACGTGTTACTCTTTACGCACTCCATCACAAATGTAAGCAAGTCACGTGTCCTTTGACTGAGTCTTTTTACAAAGAAGATGCAAAAATGTTAAGAGTTTATTTATTTTTTAAATTTTTTAAAAAAAGGGTAAATTATGATTTCTGGCAATTCAGAAATCTTTTCTCTAATTTTAATAATTGTAAAAATATTTTCTATTTTTATTTATAATATCAAGACTTTTCCTATATTTGTTAATTCTATACAACCACGTTACTTACTATCTAAAATGATTATATTATCCTTTTGAATTGAGTGGAAAGAGATAAAAATTACTAAATCGACTAATGAGCTATTTAAGTGAAAATTTCTACTCACCTTTTTTGAGATTTTGCACATATATTATCAAACACTCATGCATATTTTGACATAATACATTTGTAGTTTAATATAAGACCCTAATAAAATATATAAGACTTATAAAACTTATTTCACACTATATAAATAATGAAAACTTTGTCAATTTTAATTAACACATTTATTATTTAAATTTCTTTTTTCTTTTCTTTTTTTAAGTTGAAATAAATGTATTAATTTTGTTTTCCAGTAATTTGTCCTACTTATTTATTTATATGTAAGAAAATTATTTATTCATAAATTGTTAAGATATTATTAACAAATTTTAATTTTTATCTTTGAGTCATTAATTTTTTAGTTGATGTATATTTTTTAAAAAAAAAAGCGTAAACTTCACTTTACCTCCTATGATTTGGGTCATATGCGATTTACCCCTTAATATTTAGAAATGACCACATAATCCCCTTGTGATTTGTGAACTGAAATGTACCGTTAGCCCCGTTAACAATTTAATGAAAAAGATCAAAATACCCTTATATTTTTGTCATTTGTTTGAAAGAAAAAGTGTATTTAATCCCCTATACTTTATTTCATGTGTAATTTACCGCCCTTGAAATTTGAAAATGAATATATAACTCTTACATATGCCGCATGTTTTACACTTATTGTTAAATTGGATGGAATGTTAACGGTGCACTTCAGCCCACAAACTACATGGCGGTTATGTGATCATTTCCAAACGTTAAGAGTAAATCGCACATGACCCAAAACTCGATGGAGAAATTATTTGAGAGCACTAGAATACTCGATTAATTTGTTATATGATACTTCAAATATATTTCTCCATCTTTATTTTACTCATTTAAACTAATTTTATTAAATTAAATCTTGAAATTAATTTCTCACCTTCATTAATGGTTGAATTTTTATTTTATTTTTTGTTTATAAAAGTTCTTAAAAAGACATTCAAATAATAAATGCATTAATTAAAATAATAATTTTTACGTTGTTTATATAGTGTGGAATAAATCTTATATTAAATTAGGATTTATTACACTTTACACTCCTAAATTACCGTCAAATTGTTTATTTAGTTCCTGAACTATTGATTGATTCTACTAAGTTCCCAAAGTACATAAATCAAAGTTTAATTTAATAGAAATATTAACCTGCATTTTTTTAAATATGCATCGATTAGAAATTTAATGATTCAAAGATAAAAATTAAAATTTGAGAATAATTTATGATTGAGAAAAGATAAAATAATAATTTTTTTACATATGAATAAATAAATAATGCAAATTACCAAAAAAAAAATAAATCTATTTATTTTAATTTAAAAAATTAAATAATAAATGCATTACTTAAAATAATAAATTTTAGGTTATTTATGTTATAGCGATCCCGGTTTCCCCTTCATTGTTTAATTGTATTCCGAACTCGGTTCTGTGGATGTGTTGTTGTCTTATTCTTGTTCCCATCCTTTACTCTTTGTATTTGAGTCTTGGGTTGTGCTGGGCATGTTTGAAACAGGTTGGTTGTGTTTGGAAACCAAGAGTTGATGCCCAAATTTTGGCCTTTACGCTCAAGCGTGGCTTTTGACGCTCGAGCGGGCCCTTTGCTTTTGTTCCTCCACTCGAGCGGGCATTTTGACGCTCAAGCGTGATTATTCAACCCTCAGTACTTTTCCCTGCAGGTCGTTGGACGCTCGAGCGTCCATTTTCACGCTCGAGTGAGGACCTTCGTCTGCAGGACTTCTGGATGTGTGCATCCGGCGCTCGAGCGGCACATTTGACGCTCGAGCGTGAGTCTATGTCTGACGCTCGAGCGGGGCATTCCACGCTCGAGCGGACTGTGTATTATATCAGTCCGAGTTTTAGCTTTTTGAACCACTTTTTCGACCCACTCTCTCTCTCTAGCTTTTCAAAACCCAAACTTGGAAGCTTCTCACTCTAGACTTCATCTTCTCTCTAGGGTTTCATCTAGTTCTAGTGGTCTTCTACCCTAGTCTCTTTGAAAAAAAGGGAAAGCTTCGCGAGGGCTTCGCTTTAATCTGAAAAGTTGTGGATTTGGAGCACTTTGAGTTTCATCTCTTTTCTCCTTTGAGCTCCGAAAATTAAGGTAGGGATAACCTACACTATTCTATGAGTTTTAACATAAATTTTGGTCATTTTGATTAGATGGTGTTGCTTAGTCATTTTGAGAAAGTTAGGGTTTGATTTGAGGTTATAAAAAGGGGGGTTTTCAAATGTCAAAACCTATGTGTGTATGAGACATTGAATAATGAAATTGTTGTTGTTAAATTGATAAAATTGAGACTTTGGGCTAATATTGAGAAAAGCGGGAAAATGCCCTAATTATGTTGAATAGTTAATTTGAATAATTAATTTGGGGAAATGTGAAATTGAAGTGAAATTCGTGAAATTGGAAAATTGTGGGAGTAAATGGTGTAGTTGGATAATTTAATCACTCACCTATGAAAATGCCGATATTTTATCTGTTGATAAATTTATTATCTGTTTAGAGATAACTGCTTTGGGTTATCGGTGGAGGATAGTCTTGATTGTTGTAAACATTGTCTGATGATGAGGAAAAATTGAAACTAATCACATTGAATATGTCATTGAAAATGACAGTTGGAATATTACAACAAATGTGTGTATTGATTGATCATTGTATATGATAAGTGTTTAAATACATTGTATATGTATATTGTTTGGGAGGAGATAGGAGATGTACGGTTTGAGAGGAGATAGGGGATGGACTCTCAAACCTGCTTAGGAGGAGATAGGGGATGGACTCCACTGACACAGCAAATCTGTGTATCACTTGAAAT